CCCTCGCCGCTCCACGGGCTGCACGGAGCCAGGCTCAGTCCCGCACCTCTGGGGACGCTGCCCTGTCCAGAGGGTCTCGATGGCCACCATCAGCTGGGGGACGGTCCAGGGCATGGGGGCACCCACAGGGATGCAGCCGAGCATACGAAGCACCCATGTGCGCTTTGGGGCAGGTGGGCAAAGTCCTTGGCTTGCCTGGGGGTACCGAAAACCCTGCCAGCAGCCCAGCTGCAGCTGCGCTGGGCCAGGCGCTGCGGTCTGTGGGCACCGGAGCTTGGCTGGGGCTCTGCAGAGCTGGGTGCCGGGGTCCTGAGCTTGGCAGCATCTCCCTGGATAGCCATAAGAGCACCTGCTTCCCTCCCCACACGGCAAAGCCTCCCCAGGCTCCAGCTCACCGCTGGCTGGGCCCCAGCACCTGGCGTTTCCAGCCTTGCAGGGAGTTCCCCCCTCCTTGCTGCATGAAATCAGGGTTTGGCCACGGCCAAGCAGACCCCGTGGCACCAGGGAGACCTTCTAAGGAGGGCATGGGGCATGACAGCATCACCCGCCCCTCCAAAGGCTGCAGGAGGAGCAGTGGGATGCTGCACTCCAGAGCCGTGTCCCTTCCAGCCACACATCCTCAGGGGCCTTCAAGCACACCCAGCCACTCCATGAGGGTCCAGTTTCTTTCAGACCTCCATATAGATGGCGTTGGGGTGAGCAAAGGGGAATGCACAGGGAAGAGAGATCCCTCAGCACACCTCAGACAGCCCCTGCCCAGCAGCCAGACAGTCCCAGCCCTGCTGGCATCGCACCCACCCATGGGTGCACATGTACCAGACAACGACAAGGACTCGGTGACCCACCGCCATCCACAGCTTTGTTGTTGTCAGGCACCCAGGCATGGTTCAGCCCAGCCAAGCCACACAGTGCCCAGCAGACCATGGATGCTACAGGGGGCATCACATACCGGGGGCAACAGGCCTCTCTCTCCAGCGACGTGGACACGATTGTGCTGCTCACCCTCAGAGCAGGGGCAGGGGACCTGTCTCAGCTTCTGGTGCAGAGGCAGCTGCTTGCCTCCACCTCACTCCTGCATCCTCCTCCACCTGTCCCTGGGGCCAGGAGAGGATGTCTCTGCCTGCACCTCGAGGCAGAGAGAAGGACAGCAGAGAGGGATGGGACCAGCGACAGGACTGGAGGGTGCTGTCAGGGGTGACAGCGTCAGGGAACAGGCAGGAGGGTGGCGAGGACGCAGGCAGCCAGCTGAGGAGCCAGGGAGGATGGGAGCAGGATTTGCAATGGCAATGCCAAGCCTGGATGCAGATGGAGGGGACGTGGGCCAAGGAGGATGGCGCGGTGCAGATGGCACTGGAGGCTCAGGGAGAGCAGGGGTGGTAAATCCCTGGGCACCCCCTCTGCTTGCCCTCTGCTAACCTGTTGTTGCGCCTCGCAGTCACTGTGCCCTGCACCCCAGGAGCGGCTGCATCTCCCTGCCACCTCCAGCAGGTCCGTGCTCTGCCCAGGATGCTGTCAGCATCCCTGTCCCCAGCTATGCTGCCCAGAAGCCCTGCCAGATTCCCAGTCCCACCTGATTTGAAGCCTCCCTGCTGCTTCCTGGCTCACCAAGGCTTGCACTCAAACTTCTGGGATCAGACCAGCGGGATGAGGAGACAGGCACTCATCTGCCACTGTCCCCTGCTCTGTCCCCAGAGGATGAACTCCCCAGCTCCACTGACTCCCTGGATGCTGGGCAGAGCATGGGACAGGCACTGGCACTGCACCCCGGGCGGCTCACACCCGTGGTGGGGAAAATGCGGGAGATGCGGGAGATGCGGGAGGAAGGGAGGGAGGTGGGGAGCGGAGTGAAGCAGGAAGA